GGTGGAGCCGCCGCAGGGCCGGGGCCAGGGACGGCCGGGCTGCTCCTGGGAGAGCAGAGCCCGAGCGGCACAGCCCGGGGCAGCCGGGGACGCGTGCCCGGAGGAGCTGCCCGCACCCCCTCTGCCGCCAGGCTCTATGTGGGACCGAGCCGGCCATGGAGAAGTTGTACTTTGCGGGGAGCAGCGCATGGACCGTCAACAGCAGCTCTCTGGGGAACGGCAGCCTCCGCCTGGAGAACCAGACCTCCGGGAGGAACAGCACCACCGACCCCCTGAAGAGGAACGAGGACATGGCCAAGGTGGAGGTGACCGTCCTCTGCCTCATCCTGTTCCTGGCCCTGACTGGCAACCTGTGCGTGCTGCTGGCCATCCACACCACCCGGCAGAAGCACTCCCGCATGTACTTCTTCATGAAGCACTTGAGCATCGCTGACCTGGTGGTGGCCATCTTCCAGGTGCTGCCCCAGCTCATCTGGGACATCACCTTCAGGTTCTACGGGCCAGATTTCCTCTGCCGGTTGATCAAGTACCTGCAGGTAGTGGGGATGTTTGCTTCCACCTACATGCTTTTGCTGATGTCCCTGGACCGGTGCTTGGCCATCTGTCAGCCACTGAGGTCTCTGCACAGGAGAGCAGACCGAGTCTCTGTCCTCCTCACCTGGGTGCTGTGCCTGCTGATCAGCATTCCTCAGATTCACATATTTTCCCTGAGGGATGTGGGGAATGGAGTTTATGACTGTTGGGCAGATTTCATCCAGCCCTGGGGACCTAAAGCCTATGTCACCTGGATAACCCTCATGGTCTACATCATCCCCGTGTTGATGCTGAGCATCTGCTACGGCTTGATCAGCTTCAAAATCTGGCAGAACGTGAAGCTGAAGACAGCCCAGAGCGCGGGTGGGAGCTCCGGCTCCCGCAGCAGGATGGCGTTTGCCAGGGTCAGCAGCACCAGGCTCATCTCCAAAGCCAAGATCCGGACAGTCAAAATGACCTTCATCATAGTCTTAGCTTTCATAGTGTGCTGGACTCCCTTCTTCTTTGTGCAGATGTGGTCCGTGTGGGACACGAACGCTCCGCAGGAAGGTACGTGCTCCCCGCCCTTTGCTTCCCTCGGTCACTGCAGGACACGGGCTGCAGGCTCCTGGGCTGCCAGGGACAGCCAGAAACTGCTCCCGGCCGGCTCTCCGGGGGCTGGGAGGGGGGCAGGAAAAGACCTGAACACGGATAAAACCACCCGACAGGCTTAGCCCCTGCGAGCTCTCGGCTCGGGCTGTCCCTGGGTGGGAGCTCAGCCCTCCCGGGGCAGCCTGGGGGTCCCTGCTGAGTTGATTGCCCACCCTGGGGGCTGGGACGTGCCGAGGGAGCTCAGCCCCACGCTGGCTGCAGGAGAAAACTGTGCAGCATTAGTGCCCAACTCCTTTTCTTTTGCTGTATCATTTTGTCCTCACTGACGACTTTGCTTTCTCCTCCTCGGCCCTCGTTCCCTCTCCTCCTGTTTCCATGCACCCTGGGGCTGTGCTGCTGTTATTTTATCTCTAACTGGAGCTTGGTTCCTGCAGAAAGCTACTGATATATGAGCAAATACTTTTCCTAAAGGACGTGGTGTCACTGATTTGCCGTTTTTTATGCTCGGTGCTGGCTGCTCCTACCGTCACTAAGGCTGCTGACAGAGAAGGATGTACTACCCTCCTCGGTCTCACACGCTTGTAGGTGTGCAAGTGTGTGCTGTCCCTGGGCAGGGGGGTCTGAGGGTCCCTCTGCACCTGCAAGGAGAACTGGCTGGGAAAGCCTTAAAGAAAAACTGCACCACTTTGTGAGGTGGGAGAAAGAGATAAAAAGTGCAGCCAGGGATGACAGCTCCTTGGACAGGCGGACCCAAGCTCAACAAAAAGCTGTGTTTGGGGATGGCAAAGGGTGATGAGGAGCTGGGACCTCTCCCGGCTCCTTGCAGCCCCGCCGGGCAGGGCAGGGCA